CCCCGCAAAAAAAATGTCACGGGCACGTACCTCCTGAAAAATATGATTGGCCTCGGTGGGTACAGTTGCATGTTCGCGTGGTCCTAAGATGACCAATCCGACAAAAAATGAAAAATATCCTGTGAACCAATCCGGGAGCTTAGGTTGGAAATTGTTCAATAGAATTCCTTCTAGGGGCTGGACGTAAAGGAGAACCTATACCCCGATGTAGATCACTAACAGAGGATAACAGCTCTTAGCTGAGTTCGCAGCATTTTTTCCAATAGATCCATGTAATTTCAGTTCCGTATCACATGAAAATAGTTATCTACCTAACTAATACCGCAAGTGAGCCTTTAGCGGATCAAAGACATGTTGACACCTATCGATGGCATTTTGAAATGTACGCGTACGCGAAAAACACTTTGCACACACATTGCAAACACACATAGGAGTTGTGTACATTCGTTTTTTTAGTATCAATTCATGGGAACTTAGAAGTATATACTCCTGGAATTATTCTCAATATGCGAGGCCACAGCCATGTTGATTTATGCCGTTACAGGGAATTGTTTTTTTGAATACCTGTTGTTTTACTGGCCATGTCGTCTTAGAGGTGCGCGTACAGCAATTTATTTTGTCCTACGTATACCGCAAAGTACCAATTTCCGATCAATAATCAGTGAAGGTGAATATTGTTTTCCTTGCTTGAATGCGAAAAAAACAAGATTATCATTTAGTGTAGATACAAAAAAGTCTTTCCCCGTTGCGCCGAAGATGATGCATTCTCGAGCATGCTTTTATACAATTCGTTTTAGAACAAGTGCTTTACTAGAATTCTTGTAACATAACTTTTTTTTATCGAAATAAAGTAGTTCAACCTGACGATTCTATTACAAAATAATGTAAATAAAATACGATTTTCCGGAAACTACCGTGAAAAGAAACTCTACTTCTTGTACAATCCTTTTTCGGGTGATCTAAAGCAGAGGTCGAGCCATCTATCGTTAACCAGGGACCGAAAAAGTGACTAGCGGAATCATCGTTTAACACTGCCTGCACGAAAGTTATTAATAAACTCGTAAAATATCTCTTGGAATTAATTTCATGAAATAATACTCGCAACATAGCATACATATATTAGCAACAATGCTTTTTAGTACGTGTAATGATATTAAGAATAGAATCTGCAGTGGACCATCATTTAGTATGTGGTTATTTAAATAACAAGACAATAATTCACTGAAGATACGCTAATTAATAATAATTCGAACATTCCAGGAGTTTTGTTAATTTCCATAAGTTTTAGATCGTGTTTGCCATCGTTGCTACGCTGCTGCATAACATTGTTATCGTATTGAAAAATATCAGTTTCAAGTCGATTTCATACATTGAATGCCATCACGCGTAAACACTTAATCTTCAAAGTAGTTTAGTGTGTTGCATGCGAAGTTTTCCTCACAGGTTCCGCAACTTCATCGTTAACATGGAGAAACGAGGTAACGCTCAGCGCCAATTGAGACGCCGAGGCCGGAAGTGACCTCTAAATACAATTTTCTTGAAGACAATCCTCCCCCGGGAAAAACTGGATCTACATTCTTCATGAAATTCAACAGAGAATTTACGATATTTTTGTCATGGTGACTTCCGAGCAACCTGTGTCGATTTTATGAAACATTATACATCATATACCCCTCTCACACTGCAAATATGTTTTATTTAATTGGCCATTCAAATCTGATCATTGGTTTAAACGTTATAATGGCGGGAAGAAACTCTCAAAGTGTGCTGTAAAAATATCTGGTCGAATTCCTTCATCCAATCGAGTAAAAAAATAAAATTGTCTTTCGATTTTCCGCCGAGCAAGCTTTAGTCAGATATCCAAGTTATTTGTATTGATTTAATAGAGAAACACGAAGCCTAGCATTAATAAAACATGATCACGTGCAGCGGACTGAGACAGAAGAGTGCCTATGAAAAGCTTTATAATTTTACTGGAGTTTGTTATATCTAGGCCATTGATGTTTTATACTAATTCAAACGAAATTTAATTCTCCACAATGTTCAAGAATTCCCATCTTCAAAATTGTTCTCTTCTATTGACGAGCAATTCACTATTTCTTTCCCCTCAACATGCAGTAATATACACTACATGTTGACACTAGTGTAAGTCGGTGTGAATATATGACTTCGATAAGCGTTCGCGTAAATAGTTGTCAGTAAACCACACGCGGTTCTGTGGTTTTCAGGCATCAATACTCTGTAGATCTGCTTGAAATATTTTCGCAAAACAAATATTGATATTCCGGGTGGCGCTGGTTCTCACTATCCAGCAGAAGAATAACACCGCGTCCTCCCGTGACATAATATTCACTACACTTACGGTACCAATGACCAAAGCAGTCGACGCGCCAGGAAACACAAATAATAAATCAACTGACTTTCGATGGCGGGAAAAGCACCGACACTTCCCGAGATAAAAACATGCACTGCACTTATGGGACTAATGACAACAGTAGATGGCGTGCCCGGTAACACGTAATTATCAATCGATCAATAAACGTACTGTTCGGAAGAAGTTTTCGATAACAGCTCCTTTTCACGGCCCCGTATCCCTGCAATGATCTGCAACCCGCTGGCCGTTGTAGTCCATCTGATCGCTGGGTAGTATGCCGAATAAACTTTCGTTTCAACTCAAAACAAAAGTAGGAGATGGAGTATGTTGTTTTTTTTTTCTACAACCTCTCCTTCCTTCAGACTTCTAGTGTAGCATATATGCTTGCATATTCCCTTCAATATGGTGATTTCAGGATGAACGTACAGACCTTTATGCACTTCTCCTTTATTTCTTGGTGTATGATGTGATAGACTAACAAGGCAAAGAACTAACACCTCAGCAACTCGTCGGAGTAAAGCTGTTGATAAGTGATCTAGGCTTCGATATAATTGAAAATGCATGAAAAACTTCCTGTCGGCTCAGAAACAGCGGAGGAATTGTATTTGATTCTCTCAAACGCATAATTTTAGTAGAAAAAATCCATTATGTGTGTACCATGTTTACTAATATTCTACTTTACAATTTTATCTCATTTTTGTGGCAAATTTCCAAATTAATGCGCTCCCACAATATCTCCTTAATAGTAAGGCTTTGGACACAGGTCTTGTACATGAAACAATCTTCAGCCTGCCTAACGCATAATTTCGATTTTTTATGCCACAAAAAACGTAGTTTTGCCAGTTTCAGCTTGGCATAAGATGCACTAGTTTGTTACTGTTTTGGGCAAACTTGATCTAGAACTCCCATTTTGTGGAAGGGGAGGTCTTACGAGGACATGCAAGTGTCATTACAATAACGAGTGGGCTGTAAAGGACTAAACCCCACTTTTTGTAAACAGTGATTTTCGGTTTTGGTTAACCAGAAAACTTAGTTAATGGGTTAATGCCAGAACACCAAATGAGTAGCCTATTTTCGCGAATTATTTATTTGCATATTCTACTTTTCATTTTACGAAATAATACCGACTGTTTTCAACATTGTTTAGAGAGGAGTGTCATTTCCCTTTTCACTCCCTTTCCCCTATTGCCACACAATCATCTTTTTATTTATTTTTATTTGTTTGTTTATTTATTTGTTTGTTTATTTATTTGTTTATTTATTTGTTTGTTTATTTATTTGTTTGTTTATTTATTTGTTTGTTTATTTATTTGTTTGTTTATTTATTTATTTATTTATTTACTTATTTAATGTAAAAAAAACGACTGAAATTGATGGAGAGAGAAAAGGAGAAAAGCTATATTTAGTAATCAGAAGGAAATTAATTGATCATCTCAACATTTGCTCAATGAATTAAGGAAAACCGCACGAAAAGCCAGATCAAAATGAGTCATTGACCCGGAAGCTGATTACAATAGTCATTAAGTTGTTAGTTACAAACTTTTAAAATGTTATGTTCGTAATGCAATGCTCACAAGCCGTGACGAAGGCTTGTTTGCCGATACAAAATGTATTTCTCTCTCACTACCAAAAAACATGAATTATAGAATTTCACGATTTGGGAAGTCATAGACAGTTTGCTGTGAGCGCACCGAGTTACGCACATTTTGCAATCAATTGTTGTGAACGAGTGTATGTCTGGTGATGGGTGCAACGATTACGCGCAGGGGCCGTGGCGAGGGCGGCGCTGCAGACGGTGAAGGACCGGCGAGGCAACGATGAGCCAGCGCTCGGGCCCGAACGGAAGTTCCGGTGGAGGCGCGAGCGGAGGCCTCTTTGCCAGCCGCGCGCGCTCCCGGCCTTACGTGGCGCGCGCACGTCTACCGCCTGTCGAACGCGCCAAGATGCGGCCTCCGCAGCAGCACCTGCAGCAGCAACAACACTACCAGCAGCACCACAAACAGCAACAACATCAGCAGCCGCGATGGCGGGCTGTGGAGGAAGAGGACGACGACGACGAAGAAGAAGAAGACGAGGAGGGGGAAGATGAGAAGCAACGCGCACGCTTAGAACGCGTCCGACGAGTTGTCGACTACGCGCCCTCTACACGCTCGCTCGGCGCCGCCGCACGCTTCAGGTCAGACACCCTCTGCACTCACGCGCTTCCGCAAAGGATCTTTTATTTCCTTCATCTCTCTCGCTTATTCACATACACCTACACTCTCACCTCCTACTCCCGCTCACACTTTTACCCATGTCTATCCTCCTTCGCTCGCCCCCTCTCTCGCCTCCTCTCTCGCCTCCTCTCTCGCCTCCTCTCTCGCCTCCTCTCTCGCCTCCTCTCTCGCCCCCTCGTTCGTCGCCCCCATCTCTCGCACCCTCTCCTGTCGGCCCTCTCTCGCCCCCTCTCTCCCCCCTCTCTCGCCCCCTCTTCGCCCCCTCGTCTCGCCCCCTCTCTCACCCCCTCTTTGGCTCCTCTTTGGGGCCCCGCTCTTTGGCTCTTTGGCCCGCTCTTTGTCCCTCTTTGGCCGCCTTTTGGGCCCTCTTTGGCCCCCCTCTTGCCCCCTCTTTGGCCGCTCTTTGGCCTCTTTGGCCCCCTCTTTGCGCCCCTCTTTGGCCGCCCTCTTTGGCCCCCTCTTTGGCCCCCTTTGGCCCGCCCTCTTTGGCCCCTCTTGGTTTTTGGCCCTCTTGGCCTCTTTGGCTCCCTCTTTGGCTCCCTCTTTGGCTCCCTCTTTGGCTCCCTCTTTGGCCCCTCTTTGGCGCCCCCTCTGGCGCCCCCTCTGGCGCCCCCTCTCTGGCCCCCTCTCCCTGCTTTGTAATGCAATATTTTTTTTTTCTTTTGCTATTGCAGGATTTTTCATACAGGAGCTCCTTTAAATATGAAAAATTGAATTTCATATTTTGATTTACTTCAACTATTGCAAATTTTGTTGATTTATAGCTGCACACATCTATCTTACGTATAAATAAAAGGGAATGTTCAATAAATGAAAGGGAAGGGTGTGTCGCATAGAGACGCAAAAACTACTAAATAGATTTCATTGAATTTTTCACGCTCTGTTATTAGTAATTGGAGTATTTAAACAGTGGTTTGAATTACGTAAATAGGTCGTGAGGTGGCGTTATTGATGACGATTTATTCGTTTATGATGACTCAAGCGCCCCTGAACTCTAAGCAACCCGCCTCACAGTCACGGTGCGACTTTTCTGCGTACAAGTATTCTGCCCCTGCATTTTGAAATACCGGCCAGAATTATTACTTGCATCGCTGACAGGTAAACAAATTTCTCCACGATGGTGTGCCCAAAGTTTAACGTTTTAACAATTGGTACTTAACAACTATGTCCTAAGCAGGATATAAAACAAAACAAATTTGTGAATCTTTCATCTATTAGACATTTTGCAGTGTACCGATTCACGTGATACCGTTTCACGTGATACCTTTTCACGTGATACCGTTTCATATTTTTACACCAAAGAAGATAACTTTTTTAAATGACACAGTGTGTTTATATCCAAAACAGATGAAAGAGGAGCTTAATACGTATTGCCCCACACCTTTCAATTGTATTTTCTTTTTCAAGATTGCTGTTTTCCATGCCAATCAGTGAAATCACCTCCCCCCCCCGTTTTGGAGGAGTTTGTACCCCATTAAAACATTTTTGTACTGAATAGATAAAAAACTTACGAACACTACAATCCTTAAAATTTAATGTATCCTTATCCAAAATTAGGCAAAATTGGGTACAGACATATCAAAGTATTTCCTTGTTAGTAACTCTCATATAAGTTACTGGTTATATATTCAGGGCAATATAAATATTTATGAGATGCTCTCACCCTTTCCTTTGCAGAGGCCATGCTGAAGAATATGATTTTGAACCACAATTACGAGACACTGGTGCTAGTCCTTCATTATCTGCGAAATCCTGCGATAACATTTTTACTCGCCACTGGGGAAGCTGTGCTCCACCACTTTGGCAAGAAAATACTCGCAGTGAAGAAGCTTTATATGCTGGTCCTGTTGGTGCTGCTAAAAGCGGGCATAATTCTTTCCAGAAGATGACATCTGCACGCAGTATGGGGCATGTCAGCACTCGACACTATTCTGGGGCCAAGTACGTATCACTTAGTATTCGTACCGACAGTGCTGGTGAAATATGCATGATGATATATCCTAGATGTTCAATAATTTATTACATTCAAGGCCCCAACATATCCCAAAGAAGATAAAAATTTAATGTATTTCATAATAAAATGTTGTGAACACATTCCATATTGAAATTATTGAAAATAAATAAATATATTATAACATGTTAGGAAACAATTCTTTATGATGATGTTAATGCTCTAAAGGGAATTTAAGTGGGAATGTGATGTGCAATTCTAAATATGAAACTTAATATCTGAATCAACTACAATATTTTTTTCCAAATCTGTCTTAGTGGTGGGGAAAGAAGAGAGGGAGTTAGTTTCAATATAAAAGGGAAATATCCTGTGGCCTGATGAAAGAACGTTAGCCTTATTTTTGAAATACAACAATATCGTTCTTGGCTTGTTAGGAATAATTACAATAATAATTATTTGGGTTTTGTGGCTAACTTCCCTTTGAATAGCCTATAAAAATCTAATTTAATCTGTTCTGTTTATATCACTTATAACAAGATATATTATGGAAAAAAATAGTCCTTAAAAATTTTATGTGCACTGCAAGTGTTATACTAGTTTAATGAATATAACTTCAACAGTAGAGCAAACATATTACCACTAGAAATGATATTCCAAGACCAGTGTGCTATTATTTTTTGGAACATTAGAATCATCTGTTGATTCTGTTGTTTGATAAATTCAGTTATAAATTTCAGTAACATATGTTGAAAACAGTATTATTTTACCCAAATTTTTCAGAGAATGGACTGAATGCTTGCTGTTGTGCACCTACATTTCTGGATAAATACATTCAAGTGTCTAGAAAACAGGCTTAGACATTGCTGCCTCGGTATGAATTTCTTATGAGTAGTATTCTACATTTTTTTAACTGATTCTTCCTAAATTGTACCTTGTTATTCCAATAGTTCTGAATAAGAATGTTCCTCAGTCAGTTTATTGTCGCCATATATGATCAATATAGTTTCTTCCTTCAATTCATTTAAGAACTTCTAACACAACTTTACGTACCAATGTTTTATTTTGTGAATTTTTATTTCCATACTGCTCTATATACTTGTTTTAATCATTATGTTAAAATTTTTGTATTTCACCACCTTTACTGTTTTCTAATGTAATTTTATTTGCAAATCCTGTGTCATTCAATTATATAATAACTAAAGTTCATTATGAAGATGCATAATAAAGTTCATTTTTCTACATTCCTGTTTATGTTTTGTATGATTAACATTGATGAATTGGTTGCATATTGTATTTTCTCTGCTCATACCTGTACAATTTCCTTTATATTACTGTTACTGACTGCAGGATTGCATCGCTTTTTTATAGATATCTTGTATCAGTAAGTTGAGCATTCATAGATTTTCTTAGTATTACAGTCATTATTATAATTATAGACTGGAATTCTCAAAGGTGTTAAACACTGATAGTAGTGCTTACCAGGAGTGCCCAGAGAAAACAAAAAGCCTGGGGCAGCATCCACAGAGGATCCTTATTTTTAAAGAAGTTCACTCTCATTTATATATTATTATTATTATTATTATTATTATTATTATTATTATTATTATTATTATTATTATTATAAATAGAAGTGAATTTGATATATTATTATAAATTTAAAGTGAATTATACTCCAACAATAGTATTAAAAAATTATTTTCTTCAATAAAACAAAATTAAATTGGGGTATGAGGCAAGTTCCCCAGAAGCCACCCCACCTTTTGGTACACATGGGACTTCTTATTTATTGACACAATGTGCCAATTACATATTTTGTAAATTCTTGTTCAAGCAAATTCAAATACAAGTTGACATTGCTATTTGATCAATTAAATTAGGTATATTTTCTCAATAAGTAATGATAAGTGCTTTCGGTGTTTAAAAATTCTGAAAATTCCAATCTTCAATTTGAATGTTTCTTTGTTTTTCCATTTGCTTTTATTGAGCTTCAAACTTTGGCACATCTGTCTCTTTTTTTAGTGTAATAGAAGACAAAGTTAAGACAAGAGGAATAGACTGTTAACTCATAAACATAAATGTCATTTATTATTCTGGTTATTGGCATTACTTAGGTCCTCCTAACTTACAAAGCTTCATGAATCTGCACTCATAAAATGTACTTTCTTCGTTATAAATATATTTCAATTTGTACTTTTTATTGACAGATGACTACAATATTATTTTTTCAGTTAGTATACATAAAATTCTATTCTAGAAAAAAATCAATAATTTTCATCATTACAGTGTCTAAAGACTCCTCAACTTCAGGGATGCATATTTTTTTACAAATATTGAAATTATATTTAAATTAACGAAAGTAATACTTTGTTAGTTTCTAAAGACTAAGATTACTGTTCAGTAAATTTGATTATGACTGGTGTCTGAGCATAGGGAGAACCTTTATACATTTTCATCTGCTGGGCAGATGATAATAGTAGTGGTTTGCCTTTGTCTTCCACTGTTTGAAGGATGGTAGGGGGATCATGAGAGGTGAATAATGACAACAGAAAAATGAATGATATGATTCTCTAATAAAAAAAAAAAAAATTGAAACTTTTTTTAATTGACTGATGTTTTATTATATCCGTGAAAATTAAACAAAAACAATTACTTGAAAATGCTGTTTGGAAATTTCATCAATATCTGGGCTCTGTCTTTCTTAAGACAAAGAGATCTCATCATCGTAGAAAGAAGAGAGATGTTCGAACTATACTATTCTAAAAATATTCTTTTTCAAAGTCTGCATTCCAAATAAGTGCATGTCTACTGGTCTACTGCCTCGTAGTCAAAAGTGTACAATCAATCATCTTGGACTAATTTACATGTTATATAAAGAAATATACATTTGGATTTAATGCAAATACAACAAAATTTGTTACATTTCTGAGATAAGTTTGATATATTATTTGTCATTTTATTAATTTTAATTTTCAACCCAGGTAGACTGTACTGTTGAGAACACACTGTTGAATCCTAAACAGAAGTACTTTAAAATTTTATCTATTTCAGTATAAATAATCATTTGGTCTTGCCAACAACACAGGAGTTATTTTGAATATCGATGTAGTATACTCAATAACTGATGATCAATGTACATTAGATTATTTTTTGTTCTTTAGAGCACGTCTTGCTGCACTTCTGAAGAAACTATCACCACGTGGCCTCCGAAGGTCACGTTCTCAACCTTCCACAGCTGGGGATAATAGTGGACCTGTTCAATGCCCGTGGCTGCTTGTAGAGTTTTCTCCACATGATCTGGATGGAGAATCAGGATGTCGAGACTCTGCAGGATCAGATTGCAGTTTTGATCTTGCTGTCAGTGAATCACAAAGACGTAAAGAAGAGCACATGCAAAAAACACAGGTAATATTTGGTCTTTTTTCCCCTCTTTTAACTTTCTCGTTTACTACTTATGTATCA